AGCGGTTTTCGCCATGGTGTGCATGACTGATAAGCGTATAAAGGAAAGTTCTAGCATGGGAAATAGCAATTGTGTGTTGGGGCTCAGCAGTTCTACTTGAAAGGGCAGGACTGCTTTTCTGAACAAATCTGCTTGGGGAATTGAGTGCAGTAGTGTACCCACTGGTGAAAATGTGACCAGGACAAGCACATGAAAAGTTATATGGTGCCAAGCAGGAGCAAGTGTATATTTAAGGAGGCTTGGCATTTACAACAGCATTGTACCTTCTAGATGTCAAGTTTCCTCCCGCCTGAAGGGAGACATCCCCCCCCCCCCCCAAGGCCCTTGTCCCTGCAGGCAAGTCCTTCTCAGCGGTCCTTTCTCAACCAGTTACCAGATCTGCAAGTGTTTAACTGTGCAGCCACAAAATGGGAAAGCAAGCACTGTACCAGCAGTTCGGACAAATGCAAACTCCCTGGAAACCAGCGCTGTGCAGCTTGCACATCAACTGATAAAATCCTTGAAGCACAGGGGTTCTTCTGGCTTCTGCATATGCAGGATCACCTCCCTCGGTAATTACATGGGTGCGCTTATGACTGTCAGGTTAAACATCAACATGGCTAGATAAGGCAGGCTCCTGCACAGACAAAATGCAGATAAGGAAAAGTGATGAGCTTACTCCTAGACAGTAGTTTTCTTTATCTCTAACCCCCACTGTTTTCCCTGCAGCTCTGTGGCCTGCGGCAGCCGTGGAAGTTCACACTTCCAAGGAGGTGTACGCTGTGAACGGCACTAACCTGCGGTTAAAATGCACCTTTTCCAGCAGCAGCCCGATTAGCCAGCACCTGTCAGTGACCTGGAACTTCCAGCCCGAGGACCTGAGCTCTCATGAGCCAGTAAGTGAGACCCGTACGCTCCATTTCATTGATGCACGCTTGCCCAAACAAAGCAGTCCTGAGGCCCAGCACTGGGTAAGCCCAGTGACTGCAAAAATTCCAGGTGTGGCTGTGGGCAAGCAGAGCTGAAATGCAGAGGCACTATCTTTTGAAATGGCCCCAGAGCTCATCTGATGGCGACTGGGCACACGCAGCTCTCCTTCAGCTTAGGCCATGTGCCTCAGCTGGTGCCACACCGCTTTCATGTGCTGCTTCTGAGCACGAAGACTGCACAGTGCGTAGGAATGACAGCTTCCTCTCTTTCTTGTAGGTATTTTACTACCTGAAGGAGCCCTACAAATCTTCTGGACGGTTTAGAGAGCGAGTCACCTGGGATGGGAATATTGAGCATAATGATGTTTCCATCATTATCTGGAATTTGCAGCCCACTGACAATGGGACTTTCACCTGCCAGGTGAAGAACCCGCCAGATGCTGATGGCACCATTGGTGAAGTGCGACTCAGAGTTGTGCAGAAAGGTGAGAGGCCACCAGAGGTCATGTGAATTTAGCCAGTGTGAAGCATTGGCAGGTCTTCCTCCACATTTGGGAAAATATATGGAAGAAAAGGGATTATAAAGGGAAAGCAGGAGGGTAATTAGTGGATCCAAGGAAAAAAGGAGCCCGAGGAAAGGTTATATTCATGGACACAGGTTCCCAGCCGCATACCAAGAGCCCGCTGTGTGGCCCTCCTGTTCATTTATCTGTTTCTCTCCCTGCAGTGCACTTCTCAGAAATCCACTTCTTGGCGGTGGCCATTGGGTCTGCTTGTATTCTGATGATCATTGTGGTGACAGTTGTGGTTATCTGTCGACACTATCGGAAGAAAGCGCAAGAGAAGAGGATCGAGGTGACAGGCGCTGAACTGTAAGGACAGAGGAGAGAAAGGCATCTGGGAAAGCATGTCAAATACATCTTCGTAGCTTGGACTCTACAATAAGCATCTACAATGCAAAACTGCCAGCACCATTAGCAATAATTGGCTGCTTCCTTGCAGTCAGAACAGAGCCCCAGGCTGGACAAGCTTCGGAGTCCTCATTTTGCTCTTGCCCTTCATAGTGGCTCCTCTCCCAGAGGAGGGTCCAGCTGATGTGGTGGTAGCTGGCAGGTGATCACTCTGGTCTCTCCTCCACAAACCTGGCACTGTGGTCACCATGCATGTAGCATGCTTATTGTCTTCTCATGTAACTTCTTCTTATATGTTATGTATGTTATATGTAACTCAGAATGTGCCTCTGCTGCTCAGAATATCTTTTTTCCCCCTTTTTTTTTAAACAGCAGAGAAAAGGAGAACCTGAAGATTAGAGAAGAAAAGGAAGCCAGTCCGTTAGAAGACTAGAGGTCTCTGATGGTATATACAATGTAGGTATCCATTCCGTTCGAACATCCTTTAATTAATGTCTCAGTGTTCCTGCAGACCGCCTAAGACAGTTTCATGTAGGTATTTCACTTCTATGGCCTTGCTAAGCAAAACCAGAAACAACTGAGACCACTGCCACACTTTGCTCTTGAGGAGCCTTCAGAGGGACTGACAACTGAACGGGCGGTGGAGGCAGAACTGCCTCTCAGCCGTAGAAGAGATTTCTCCGCCCTAGTGTTGAGGATCACTGGTAGGAGAGCCGTTATTGCTGCCTTCCGTGACATGCCTGCTTTGAGAGGAATGACTTCATTTCCTTTCACCAGTTTTGGATCTGCTTTTTGATTCATTTAATCTCTATTGCTTTAGAATTGCTACAGGAAGGCTGAACTGTTTCCAGACTTGCTGGCTTTGCTGAAACATTTCGGCATAATTTTTACCCACTTGTTCCTGAGGTCAGCAGTTGCCTCTACTGTTTTGGTTTTCAACAATAACCCTGAGTAATGCATCTGTTTTGTTTTTCTTATAATCTTTCCTAGGTACTTCTAAAGCAGGTGGTGAAAGCTTGTAATTTCGGATGTTAGAACTGAGCTGAATTACAGACGCCTCACGCTGCGAGTGTGGTATCCCTGCTCAACCTGAAATTCCTGCAAGGAAAGAGGCTGACATTAACACAAGCTGTACATTTCCTTCACTGAAGCAAAGCAGAGGAACTTGCCCCATGAACAAGGACCTTTCCTTAATCTTCACACCTGCAGAACGTGAAGAAAGCTGCTCGGAAGATGAAAACACGCCAAGGGATTTTGAACAAAATGCCAAGATAGCTGATGGAACAGAGACTTTCAAACTGTCTGAGCAGACGCACTCTTGCACCTTACAAGGTGCATGTGTGTTGCCCTATTTTTCCTCCCTCAAAATCCTCTTTGACATCGTGAAAAGGAAGACGGACTATGTGAGGGATCAGGGGAGCAGCCAGTTGCTACGACATACTTTAAATCTCTCTGCTATTTTCAGTGGCAGGTGTTACAGTTCGGGAATGTATGCCGTTTCTTATTAGGGATAACGTTTACCAGCGGGTGCGTTTTTCATGTCAGTCTCTTGCAGCTTTAGTAGGCTTTGTAACCGCGGTAGCTGAGGACACTGCCTTCTGCTGCACAGCGCGCGGCCACGCGCTTCGGCAGCTCCCCTCCTTTTCCCGCTCCCACTCATCCCAACGCTGAGCTCCTTTCCCCCTGGATCGCCCCCTTCCCTCTGAGGGAGCACACCACTGCCAAGCGGGACGCTTCTTCCCCTGCACAGCGCCCTTATGGGCACCATCGCGAGCACCCTGAAACTTTGCCTGGCAGCGGCTGCTGCGGTTCAAGCTCAGAGAGCGCCCTGGGCCGGGGATGCTCCGGTGGTACGCGGTGCCACTGCCACCCGCGGTGCTAAGCAGCATTCCACGGCTGCCAGCACGGCAGCAGGCTTCCAACAACCGCAGCGGTACCCCTCCTGCGCCGGCTGCCATTTATTGCCCATCTCTCCCCTGCGTTCCACGCGCCCGCTTAGCGCATACCCTGCACCGCCACAGGCTTAATCTCTGCAAGGCAAACGAAACCCCAGATGATTGAAACCACAGAGCCACTGCCGTGTTTAACCAGCACCAAATCAGAACATCAGCCCGTTTCTTTAAAGAGTATCTTGATGACTTTATAGCCCTACCTGCACTGTGCTGGCCAGATTATCTGTTTGTACGCTTTCGTTTGGGATCGCATGTGTCATAAATAAACACGCCATGTGAGCCCTCCCCTGGAGCCCTGTGTCCAGCTCGGGAGCCCTCAGCACCAGGAGGACATGGAGCTGTTGGAGCGGGGCCAGAGGAGGGCTACTAAAATGATCCAAGGAGCTATTAAAATGCTCCGAGGG